AGGTTACAAAACATACAAGACAAATGCCTAAAGGTATATATATATATATATATATATATATATATATATATATATATATATATATATATATATATATATATATATATATATATATATATATATATACATATATATATATATATACATACATATATATATATATACATATACATATATATATATATATATATATATATATATATATATAATATATATATATATATATATATATATATATATATATATATATATATATATAAGGCACAACTCTCCTAAACACGAGAGTGAAGTATACAACTTTAGAACACTTTCCCACCAGGAGACTCGAACCCTAGCCAGCACAGAAGCCTTCCAGCAACTGGCATAACAGGTACGCCTTAACCCGCTCCACCACCTGCTCAGACCCTTAAAAGAGATGGTAATTTCGGAGTATTTAAATACACCAAAGATCACCACCTCCCAAGAGCACTAGAGCAAGTGAGGGGTCATTTAGACGTTAATTTCATCAAGTCCCTGTTAATATGGGAAGACACAGTGTCTATGCTTAAGGCACAACTCTCCTAAACACGAGAGTGAAGTATACAACTTTAGAACACTTTCCCACCAGGAGACTCGAACCCTAGCCAGCACAGAAGCCTTCCAGCAACTGGCATAACAGGTACGCCTTAACCCGCTCCACCACCTGCTCAGACCCTTAAAAGAGATGGTAATTTCGGAGTATTTAAATACACCAAAGATCACCACCTCCCAAGAGCACTAGAGCAAGTGAGGGGTCATTTAGACGTTAATTTCATCAAGTCCCTGTTAATATGGGAAGACACAGTGTCTATGCTTAAGGCACAACTCTCCTAAACACGAGAGTGAAGTATACAACTTTAGAACACTTTCCCACCAGGAGACTCGAACCCTAGCCAGCACAGAAGCCTTCCAGCAACTGGCATAACAGGTACGCCTTAACCCGCTCCACCACCTGCTCAGACCCTTAAAAGAGATGGTAATTTCGGAGTATTTAAATACACCAAAGATCACCACCTCCCAAGAGCACTAGAGCAAGTGAGGGGTCATTTAGACGTTAATTTCATCAAGTCCCTGTTAATTGTTGTATACTTCACTCTCGTGTTTAGGAGAGTTGTGCCTTAGGCAAATCGGGCCTTGCATAGTAGGCTGAGAAGTGCGTTCTGGCTACTAGGTACGACATATATATATATATATATATATATATATATATATATATATATATATATGAGCTTCAGCCAGCAAAGAGAACAGTGCAAAAAAGTTAACGCTAACACTGAAGAAGGATAAATCAATACACGTCTGACCAGCACGATGTTTAAAGCCCAACTGTCAGCTGTCATTGGCATAGGAATTCAGAAGGTTCGAGCTCTCAATATTGACTACCTGTAATTTGGTGTATACGTTCTAACCATGGCAAATCTCTCAGACAAAGTTTTCTTTCCACTAATTTAAATTATTTTCTACCACACAAGATTTGACTTCATTACAAAGTAAGAAATTAAAAATGATTTATTTAGACGAAGTCACAAACTACTTGAAATGAGAGTTGAATGAGCTGTCCACCAGCCTAAAGCTGGACAAACACCCGTAGTGAGAACAACAGCGGATTTTTACTGCATAAATTAATTTGGCTGAAAATCCTAGTCCTTCCGTTTCTATCACTTAACTATATCATTTCAATAAGATCAAGGGTATTATATATAATGTTACTCACCGAAAGTATTTAATGATTTTGTATTAACAGTGCATTTGGCTGATGGTAGTTGTCATATTAGTTATAAATGTGTCAATCGTCTTATTAAGTAACAAGATGTGGGGTTCCTGCACGATAAATTATGGGATAACTTGACCACTGTGAATATTCTCATGCCTACTGTTATGATGCCCTCTCCAATATCTTCCTTTATCTAGCAAAAAGAGTCATCTCTCTCCATCCTGCAGATTCCTTGAGGTGCAGGAATACGTTTGAAATAGGTGACTCCTAGAATAAGTACATATTTGGAGAGAAAAGGCAAAAACTGAAATACCCTTACAAAGGGGCTTACGCCCTTAGTGCATACAAGAGGGCGACAGGCCGACCAAAAGTGCGCCAAAATGTGAAGGTGCCAGCCGTCTGGTGATTGGCTGGCCGGGGTCACGTGACGAGTATGACTAATGAGAGCCTGCCCCTAGGTCTGTGATGTCACCAGGCAGGGGAGGCTGAGGGATTGCAGAGCCCCAGGCGTACATAGAAATTCATGGCACTTCATCCAGAGCAGATGTGCGCCAGTGAGCTCCGGAGTTCGAAGATATTGGAGCCTCGTCGAGTGGATTACTGCAGCCTGACACATCCCATAGTGACTGTAGAAGACGATTGTACTCGTCAGAAACACAAGGAAGCCGAGTTCCAGCGGTGAAAGGGGCATTGTGGACTGTGAGCTGTTAGTCTTGGGTGGAGTTGGGAGTGGCGACGCGGCCGGAGCAGTGAGTGGTTCTCCGCAAACAGACACCACGATGTATTCAGAGCTGCTGTGACCGGGGTTACATCTACTGGTGTTATGAATTTGCTTACTTGTTATGGGGGGTATAGAGTATTAATTAAAGAGAAGGGCAAACAGCTAGAATCAGGATGTTTCGAAATTAGTGGAGATCAGATAGGCCCGGCCCCCAATAAGAACATAAAACCATATTAAAGTAGTGGCTTAAAAGTAAATACCTCAGTCTAGAGGTTGATCACTGATCCTCTACACAGGAAGTATGGATACTCCTTTAAAAATTAACTTATTTATTAAACCCTCTTAACAACCCCCCATATACATTAACAGCAATAACAATAACTACTTTACCACACTATCTTATGTTAACTACCTTGGTCCACATAGACAGGATACGAGGCTTACACTTGGGACAAGCTAGGGTAAAGTCTACTAGGCAAGGGACACTAGCAAGGACTCTAGGTAGCTTGGTACCACTTGAGCACACATGGTTCTACTGAGACCCCTTAGAGTAACTTAGCAATATAAACACTACCATAGCCTATACACATTACTACACGCTTATGCCAGAAAACGTACATGCAACACGGTATTTAGCTTTGTAAACTAAACACAGGATAAGGTAAGGGAAGAGGAGGAGACAGAGCCACACAGGAGAGGTGTTGACTCAACCACAGCAGTCCAGACAAGGCCGAAGGAGCCTCCAGTCTGAGCTCTCTCCAGTTGTTGCCGGAAAGATAACCAGCTGATCGTGCAGCTTATAAATATTACAAATCTTCACCGACGTACAAAACTGGTTACTTTAATAGTTCTAAGAATAGTTGATAACTAGTTCAGTGTTTAATAATCAACAACAAGCTCAGAGTCTGAATGCTCTGTGAGAAACAAGATTCGTCTTATGTCTGGCAAGGAAGATAGGAACAAAAACGCATCAGCAATCCTATCAAATAATGTAAAGTACTTATTTAGAGCTCAATTTGACCTCTGGTTTCCAACTAAGGAACCCAAGGTCATAACAACTGGGAACTCGGAAGGAATACATCGCGTCCAGATCTACGAGTATTTGCTCTCAGTGAAGGAGCGAGTGAGTGAGATGACGAGCACAGGGACCACTGGCTGGGCCGCTGGAGGAACTGCAAATTTAGTAATGAGGACGGTGATGATGCATAGCTTCACGACGCCTGGAGGACCTGTGACATGCGACCAAAACGCTGAGGAGCGACCTAGGAACCCTGGACCACTGACTGGGGCCAGCTTGGAGAAACTGCAAATTTGGTAATGAGGACGGTGATGACGCATAGCTTCACGATGCCTGGGGACCTGTGACACTCGACCAGAACGCAGAGGAGCGACCTAGGAACCATGGACCACTTCGACCGTTGGAGTCCAGGCATATGAGAGCAGGGTGTGATAAGGAAGATAAATTTTCCCTCCCATATTCCCTTGGTATTTAGGCGAGATAGGCATAGTAATATAAATATAGATATTTATTAGTGTGTCTATTGATTTATGGGAGTAGGTCAGCAGAAGTTTATTATCTACTACCTGGTGAACTTAGCAAGTGGTGTGTGTAACAGAGCCATGAGGAATGTGTGTCTTTGACGATGGGAGCCGCACAAGAAGGTAGGTTGTGATCCCTTTAAACCCGCTCAGCTGATTTGAGTTGCTAACGGCATCCAGAGAAGCGCTGCAGGCTTCAGTATACATGTTCTATGTCAATTTTGTTTATATGTTCCATGTAGACTTTTCTTCAGTAATTCTTGTTGATTTTACTTATGATTTTCTGTGAGCCCTCCATCTCATTTGAGCAATATTATGGAAAAGTGACACTAGATTGCACCACACTAACAGTAATAGTAATAGAGGTAATCCCTGAGTGGCAATACTATATCAATTTGAACCAAAGCATTGCTGGGACACGAAGACGACTTACACAGCAGCGGACCAGTGAGAAGAGGGAAAAGAATTCAGGTAAGGCAGGAGGGTTCGGCATCCATTTTGTACATGTTTCAGTGGGCAGGCCCGGTGAAGTTGTTTCACGCAGTAGGGTCGAGGACCTGCAGTGTGAGCTGGGCCTTCTCCTCTCCTCCTTGGATCCAAAGTCAAGCAGTGGACAGAGACTGGACTTGAGGCAAGACTTGGAAAGCTCCCTTGGTGGATAGTGGCACCCAAGTAGAGGGGCGTGAAGAGTTACAGTACCGCGGCGAGGAATTACAGTATCTTTAACATAGTGCCTCCGTTATTTGCCTGTAACTCCCGTCACTCAAAGCCAAAGATGTGTGATGCGTTAACACTGCCTATCCTTAATGACTGACTGAAGCTCATTCCTGATAACTCACATCAGTTAAAAAATAGCTGGATTCACATATATTCAAGACAATAACCGCCCTTAATTCTAGGAGTTACGACTGAGATCTGTCTTGCCCATACTATTAAAATGACATTACCCCCGGGCGTAAACCCTAACCATTCACACATTTACTATAATGACATTATTATATTTGACAGACTCCTTCATCACCCGACGTTAGTAGTGGCAGGGGAGGTGTACCCGGGTCAGACGGAGGAGCTGGTCGACTACCCTGGCGCGCCTGATGGCAAGAGGCTGGTCTTCAGGGGGCCCGCAGCGAGCGTCCTCGACTACCTTGCTCAAGCTATCAACTTTTCGTACGTTACATAATATGTTTAGTATTCGGACCCCTTTACATGCCATCACATATACAAAAATTACATATAGAAGTATTCTTAAGAAATACGAAGAAATATATTTTTATTCTCAAACACAAAAAAAGAAATATTTTTATTCTCAAACACAAAAACTTATATTCATTGTAGATGCATTTTCCACTATGTAATATATTATTTAAAGAAGCTTTGAAAAATTATCTGTATTAGTAAATTGGTTCTGGAGAGGAAAGCGTTAGATGGTGGTTTTAAGTCTATATATGGGCCCATGACAGTCCTTAGGTGCTCAGATTTGTATGTGCAAAGGTGGTTCTAGATTGGGAAGCAGAGGGCTGCAGTTTGCCTCGTGACCGTTTCCTTTGTAAATTGTTATTCTATGGCGAGTCATAGGGTGGATGGGGTCTACTCCAATGAAGTAGTAGAATAATTAAGAATGATTTTCTCTCAACGTGAAACTATCCAGTCCTTTGAGTTTTGAAATGTGATTTTGATTGTCCATAAAGTGTTTTCACCTTTGCAATTACCTTATCATGCTCCTAACGTGTATGGTTTCCTTCCTGGAAGAATCACACAAACTTGATTTTCTGAATATTTTATTAGAGAGGGACCAAGATCTCAGGTGGCATTTATTGATTCCCAAACTGCTTTTGATACAGCACACAGAGAAATAATCTTAAAATAACTAGCCTCTTTTGGAGTTAAGGGAAGGCTGCTGACATGGCTCAGGGGTTACCTGAGTAACAGAACCTCCTCAGTCCTTTTCAAGGGGGTCAGAGGTAAACATTGTGCACCCTTCGAGTTGAGTACACCCCAGGGTGGAGTGCTAAGCCCTACACTGTTCAATGTTCTGATGCACAAATTAACAATTGATATTCCCACACTACCTGACGAAGAAGTCATCTGTCATGCCGATGACATATGCATTGTTGCAAATACTCAAACTAGACTGCAAGCTCTACTTGATTCATTCGCTGCTAAAAGCATTGAATGTGGTCTAGTTATCTCTATAACTAAATCCAGAGTTCTCCATTGGCAAGAGAAAACTCATGTCCCTCTGACTTTCAAAGTCAACAACCAGAACATTGAAACGTGTCAAATACCTTGGAGTTGGTATCACAGTGACATAGTAAACGATCTACATCGTAGATTAAAAGAAAGACTTAAACCACTAAAAACACTAACTGGTAAGAATATTGGTATCAATATTAAATATGCTAGATTGTTCTATATGATGTTCGTTAGAGCGCTAATTGATTATCATGCTTTGTAACTACTTAACTTCCCCGCCTCTGTATTGGTCAAACTTGAAGTAGTACAGATGAAGGCTATGAGGATAATTCTTGGTGTCCCAAGATGCACATGAATCATCAACATGAGGGAAGAACTGAAACTACCAACCATACTAAAGAGAATCATGCAAGTCAACACGACCTTTTGCCTTAACGTCATGACAGATCCTACATCTCCTGCATTGCTCAGAGACAAATTATTCAGTGCTGTTAAACACCCGACTATTGACTGGTGTTAACCAACAAACCGACTCACTCCTTTTTTTGATGATAAATGGCTGAGAAAAAATGTCTACAATCTCATCAAACACTCAACATTCCTTTTAAACCATCTCTTGGTGCTAGGTGAGGCACACAAGAGATGATGGTGCTAGGTGAGGAACACAGAGAGATGATGGTGCTAGGTGAGGCACACAGAGAGATGATGGTGCTAGGTGAGGCACACAGAGAGATGATGGTGCTAGGTGAGGCACACAGAGAGATGATGGTGTTAGGTGAGGCACACAGAGAGATGATGGTGCTAGGTGAGGCACACAGAGAGATGATGGTGCTAGGTGAGGAACACAAGAGATGATGGTGCTAGGTGAGGCACACAGATAGATGATGGTGCTAGGTGAGGCACACAGAAAGATGATGGTGCTAGGTGAGGCACACAGAGAGATGATGGTGCTAGGTGAGGCACACAGAGAGATGATGGTACTAGGTGAGGCACACAAGAGATGATGGTGCTAGGTGAGGCACACAGAGAGATGATGGTGCTAGGTGAGGCACACAGAGAGATGATGGTGCTAGGTGAGGCACACAGAGAGATGATGGTGCTAGGTGAGGCACACAGAGAGATGATGGTGTTAGGTGAGGCACACAGAGAGATGATGGTGCTAGGTGAGGCACACAGAGAGATGATGGTGCTAGGTGAGGAACACAAGAGATGATGGTGCTAGGTGAGGCACACAGATAGATGATGGTGCTAGGTGAGGCACACAGAAAGATGATGGTGCTAGGTGAGGCACACAGAGAGATGATGGTGCTAGGTGAGGCACACAGAGAGATGATGGTACTAGGTGAGGCACACAAGAGATGATGGTGCTAGGTGAGGCACACAGAGAGATGATGGTGCTAGGTGAGGCACACAGAGAGATGATGGTGCTAGGTGAGGCACACAGAGAGATGATGGTGCTAGGTGAGGCACACAGAGAGATGATGGTGTTAGGTGAGGCACACAGAGAGATGATGGTGCTAGGTGAGGCACACAGAGAGATGATGGTGTTAGGTGAGGCACACAGAGAGATGATGGTGCTAGGTGAGGCACACAGAGAGATGATGGTGCTAGGTGAGGCACACAGAGAGATGATGGTGTTAGGTGAGGCACACAGAGAGATGATGGTGCTAGGTGAGGCACACAGAGAGATGATGGTGCTAGGTGAGGCACACAGAGAGATGATGGTGTTAGGTGAGGCACACAGAGAGATGATGGTGTTAGGTGAGGCACACAAGAGATGGAGCATGATGAAACACCTTATAAAACTGAGCTCATGACCTCATTACCATCCCAAATACGAAATCAGATTACCGTCCCAAACACGAGACCAGATTACCGTCCCAAACACGAGACCAGATTACCGTCGCAAACACGAGACCTCCCATGCAGTGACATACGAGATAATGGACTCATACGCTTGTGTGTTGTATCCAGTATAAATATTCCTTAAGTGAAAAGCACATGATTTTACGCAAAAATGTAATTAAGGCGAAAATGAAAATATTTTCCATGAGATTACATAATTCCATTTAATAAAAAATTATTTACGCAATGTTCTAATGAGTTTCAAAATACTGTTTTGAAAAAAGGCAGTTTTCGAGACATAATCCATAGCGATAACATTTACTATTTTGTTTTTTGCGTATTGATAAAAAAAAGTCTTTCCGTATCACCGCAGGAAGCAGATATCACGTTAGGTCCCTTCGCTGTGAGTTTCAGTCGTCTTGAAGTTATCGACTTCTCGTGGCCAATACACATTGGATTGTCGAAGATCCTGGGAGGTCGAGGGCGACCGGTGGTGGACCCGTGGGGCTTCTTGTTTCCCTTCACGCCCCTGGTGTGGGCGGCCATCCTGACCACGCTGCTGGTGATGTCTCTGACAGTGTTTCTTTTAAGCTCCTGCTCCTCTCATGAGATCGCTGATGCACATCTTTGGTTTTCAAAAGCCTTCAACTATATTCGCGTATTATTACAACAGGGTAGGTAACCTCTGGCACCTTCTCCATAGTATTAATATTATGCGAATACATCGTTACCACTACTGGAGCAATTAGGAGGACGCATAGCCTCTGAGAAGAGAATAATGAGCATATAAACGAAAATCTTGTCTTTTGTTTCTAAATACGCAAGGGTATTTTATTCTCTTACCACCTCTTTTTATTATTATGATATATATTATACAAGGTTACACAATTATTTAACTTGAGCTGTATTTTTAGACTTGAGCAGATCGGATGAGTGGTGGTGGGAGAAGATGGTGATGCTGGTGTGGATGATGGTGATGCTGGTACTATCACGGAGCTACTCGGGCAACCTCTTGGCTCTCCTGGCCGTCAGATACATTCCTCATCCCTACCAGACCCTCGAAGACGTTGTGCACGACCCCTCAGTCAAAATGATATGGAAAGCTAACACCATATATGAAAACTATTTTCGAGTACGCCACTATACGCTATCGTCTTGTCCTGTATATATATATATTAATTGATATGCATATTTTGTTTCACGAACAAATAAAAATATTCTCAATGAATGCTTCATGACGGAACCTGACCTTCTTAACTTGCTGAATCCTGCGAAGACGTCAACGTCGGGCATCTACCGCAAGGTTGGAGACCTGGAGACTAGGGCGCGGGTTGTCCGGAGACCACACTTGCAGATCCTGGCTGCCCTCGATACCCTGGTCAGGAGCGGAGACCAAGTCCTCCTCGACAATGACGCCAGTCTCATCAACCTTATGGTTGAGGATTTCCTGCGCACAGATACGCTACCGTGAGCGACGGTAGTTAGGAGAAGAAAGCGCTGAGGCGGTGTGAGCAAACAATATTATGTTTAGCAAGGCCATAATGCAGCATGTTCACCTAAAGCAGCAGTAGCGTGGTGCCCTCACCTGAAGCAGCAGTAGTGTGGTACCTTCACCTGAAGCAGCAGTAGTGTGGTGCCCTCACCTGAAGCAGCAGTAGTGTGGTGCCTTCACGTGAAGCAGCAGTAGTGTGGTGCCTTCACCTGAAGCAGCAGTAGTGTGGTGCCCTCACCTGAAGCAGCAGTAGTGTGGTGCCCTCACCTGAAGCAGCAGTAGTGTGGTGCCCTCACCTGAAGCAGCAGTAGCGTGGTGCCCTCACCTGAAGCAGCAGTAGTGTGGTGCCTTCACCTGAAGCAGCAGTAGCGTGGTGCCCACACCTGAAGCAGCAGTAGCGTGGTGCCCTCACCTGAAGCAGCAGTAGTGTGGTGCCCTCACCTGAAGTAGCAGTAGTGTGGTGCCCTCACCTGAAGTAGCAGTAGTGTGGTGCCCTCACCTGAAGTAGCAGTAGTGTGGTGCCCTCACCTGAAGCAGCAGTAGTGTGGTGCCCTCACCTGAAGCAGCAGTAGTGTGGTGCCCTCACCTGAAGCAGCAGTAGTGTGGTGCCCTCACGTGAAGCAGCAGTAGTGTGGTGCCCTCACCTGAAGCAGCAGTAGTGTGGTGACCTCACCTGAAGCAGCAGTAGTGTGGTGCCCTCACCTGAAGTAGCAGTAGTGTGGTGCCCTCACCTGAAGCAGCAGTAGTGTGGTGCCTTCACCTTAAATAGCTGTAGTGTGGTGCCCTCACCTGAAGCAGCAGTAGTGTGGTACCCTCACCTGAAGCAGCAGTAGTGTGGTGCCCTCACCTGAAGTAGCAGTAGTGTGGTGCCCTCACCTGAAGTAGCAGTAGTGTGGTGCCCTCACCTGAAGTAGCAGTAGTGTGGTGCCCTCACCTGAAGTAGCAGTAGTGTGGTGCCCTCACCTGAAGCAGCAGTAGTGTGGTGCCCTCACCTGAAGTAGCAGTAGTGTGGCGCCCTCACCTGAAGCAGCAGTAGTGTGGTACCCTCACCTGAAGCAGCAGTAGTGTGGTGCCCTCACCTTAAATAGCTGTAGTGTGGTGCCCTCACCTGAAGTAGCAGTAGTGTGGTGCCCTCACCTGAAGCAGCAGTAGTGTGGTGCCCTCACCTGAAGTAGCAGTAGTGTGGTGCCCTCACCTGAAGTAGCAGTAGTGTGGTGCCCTCACCTGAAGTAGCAGTAGTGTGGTGCCCTCACCTGAAGCAGCAGTAGTGTGGTGCCCTCACCTGAAGTAGCAGTAGTGTGGCGCCCTCACCTGAAGCAGCAGTAGTGTGGTACCCTCACCTGAAGCAGCAGTAGTGTGGTGCCCTCACCTTAAATAGCTGTAGTGTGGTGCCCTCACCTGAAGTAGCAGTAGTGTGGTGCCCTCACCTGAAGCAGCAGTAGTGTGGTGCCCTCACCTGAAGTAGCAGTAGTGTGGCGCCCACACCTGAAGCAGCAGTAGTGTGGTGCCCTCACCTGAAGTAGCAGTAGTGTGGCGCCCTCACCTGAAGCAGCAGTAGTGTGGTGCCCTCACCTGAAGCAGCAGTAGCGTGGTGCCCTCACCTGAAGCAGCAGTAGTGTGGTGCCCTCACCTGAAGCAGCAGTAGTGTGATGCCCTCACCTGAAGCAGCAGTAGTGTGGCGCCCTCACCTGAAGCAGCAGTAGTGTGGTGCCCTCACCTTAAATAGCTGTAGTGTGGTGCCCTCACCTGAAGTAGCAGTAGTGTGGTGCCCTCACCTGAAGCAGCAGTAGTGTGGTGCCCTCACCTGAAGTAGCAGTAGTGTGGCGCCCTCACCTGAAGCAGCAGTAGTGTGGTGCCCTCACCTGAAGTAGCAGTAGTGTGGCGCCCTCACCTGATGCAGCTGTAGTGTGGTGCCCTCACCTGAAGCAGCAGTAGCGTGGTGCCCTCACCTGAAGCAGCAGTAGTGTGGTGCCCTCACCTGAAGCAGCAGTAGTGTGGCGCCCTCACCTGAAGCAGCAGTAGTGTGGTGCCCTCACCTTAAATAGCTGTAGTGTGGTGCCCTCACCTGAAGTAGCAGTAGTGTGGTGCCCTCACCTGAAGCAGCAGTAGTGTGGTGCCCTCACCTGAAGCAGCAGTAGCGTGGTGCCCTCACCTGAAGCAGCAGTAGTGTGGCGCCCTCACCTGAAGCAGCAGTAGTGTGGTACCCTCACCTGAAGCAGCAGTAGTGTGGTGCCCTCACCTGAAGCAGCAGTAGTGTGGTGCCCTCACCTGAAGCAGCAGTAGCGTGGTGCCCTCACCTGAAGCAGCAGTAGTGTGGCGCCCTCACCTGAAGCAGCAGTAGTGTGGTGCCCCTCACCTTAAACAGCTGTAGTGTGGGGCCTTCACCTGAAGTAGCAGTAGTGAGGTGCCCTCACCTGAAGCAGCAGTAGTGTGGTGCCCTCACCTGAAGCAACAGTAGTGTGGTGCCCTCACCTGAAGCAGCAGTAGTGTGGTGCCCTCACCTGAAGCAGCAGTAGTGTGGTGCCTTCACCTGAAGCAGCAGTAGTGTGGTGCCCTCACCTGAAGCAGCAGTAGTGTGGTGCCCTCACCTGAAGCAGCAGTAGTGTGGTGGCCTCACCTGAAGCAGCAGTAGCGTCGTGCCCTCACCTGAAGCAGCAGTAGTGTGGCGCCCTCACCTGAAGCAGCAGTAGTGTGGTGCCCCTCACCTTAAACAGCTGTAGTGTGGTGCCTTCACCTGAAGTAGCAGTAGTGTGGTGCCCTCACCTGAAGCAGCAGTAGTGTGGTGCCCTCACCTGAAGCAACAGTAGTGTGGTGCCCTCACCTGAAGCAGCAGTAGTGTGGTGCCCTCACCTGAAGCAGCAGTAGTGTGGTGCCCTCACCTGAAGCAGCAGTAGTGTGGCGCCCTCACCTGATGGAACAAATCATCACCTAGAAAAAGTGAAGAGTCATCCTGCCAAATGGGTACCATTACTGAGAGTTGTAAAGTAAGTTATGATCATAAACAAGTTTTACCTAATACTTCTTCAATACAAAAGGAAAATGGGTACTTATATAGCTGTTTTTTAGGGGCATCAACTGTTACGAAAAGATTAATGAAAGAGACTTCAGCAACAGACAATGTGGAAATGCTTAAAATTATCATTTCAGAACCAGCCTTCTTCATTAACATTTGATGAGCATGTGTGTTGTTGTTGTTGTTGATGTTGTACAAAGCTACGTATATTGACAGGAAGGTGTGATTTCTACAAGTCTAGGGAAGGGTACTTTGCCTTCCCATACTCGCTCGTCCTGCAGAAGGACAGTCCTCTTCTTCCTAGTGTCAACAAAAGGTTTGCATTATATTTTATAAGTGGGTTTTAAATTTCTTAAAACATTTATTTATATATTTCCTAATGAGTGGTATTATAGACTGTGGGTTGGTTGGTGTTGTCGTCGTTGATCCTTCTCTATGGACAACCCAACCCACAACTCGGCAGAGTGCTTATACTAGGAGATCACCCTTGGCGCTTCTGGCTCTTGGAGAGGGGCTCAACGTCACACGTTTAGGGGATGCGGCTCCAACACTTAGCCTCGTTGTCACGTGCACACACCCACTCGAGCCGCTGTGACTCCCCACTCTCTCCTTATGAGATATGATCTCCTCAATCTCCTATGACTTACTAGTATTACCTCCTACCCTGTCCACGGCAGTGGTTCTTGGTTCTTTCTCTCTCTCTCTCCTTCTTTACTACCTCCTGGGAAGCCTCACTAGGACAAGGGCAAACACCAGCAAATTGTGACACATTTACTGGACAAAGCACATACACGATACATACACACATATAATAATAATGAATCCTATACTCTATAATATCACAATCAGGTTGCACTCCAACACCATCAGAACTCTATTATCAGCTTATCAAGTGGTATCCTATCTCCTGGTTCACCACCTGATACTATTAACCTCCTCAAGTTGATCAAGTCTACATACACTGTTGTACCATCAGCAAGATAACATATATATATAGAAAATCAGCATTTGAATGCAATAACATATACCAGTATAAATGTTCATTGATACTTCAGTATAAAAAACTCCTTGACGAAAGAATGCCAACAGTCACTCACCTTTCACTGCGTCTTGCACGCTAATGACAACCAAACACTATCAACTCCCTATAAGTAATCCACCAGAACTTCCCCTTCCACCTCTGGAAGTTCACTACCCTAATATCCTTAGGTTCTTCCGGGCTTCACTACCAGGATCCCCTGCAGCTCCTCCAGGCTGCTATCATGAAGTTTCCTTGAGCAACTACGGTGCTTCACCCTTCTGCTAGGGTCCTCCACAGCTCTCTTGGCTGCTACACCATGAAGTTTCCCCGAGCAACTATGGTGCTTCTCCACCTCTACAGAAGCACGTGACACTCCTCTTCACTGCTGCTTCTCCTCACAGCTCGAGGTCCTCTGCTCCACTACCTTGGAGTCTCATCAGCTACTTCATCTGCTGGCTTCGAAGTTCTCAGCAACTTCTTCCCCAAAGAACAAACCTGCAACCCATCGACACTCCAATAAAATGTTCCCCTTTAACCCAAACAAAAAATATTCACACAATATGTTTGCCTCAAACCTCTATCTGTTCTCTACATACAGTGAGAGTGGACTCCCCCGTTTTGGGCGGGTCCATACTCCACCTCGCCTGGCGGCGGTCCTCACTCGCTGGGAGGGTCTTCCTCCGTCAAGAGCCAGGCTCCCTCAGTCGTCCGCCAGCGCTCAGAGGGGATGGATGTCGCTCCGTGCTCCTCCCTCTTCACTCTCCTATTTCAGGCTTTCTGCCTTATTAAAACATGTCTAACTTATAAATAAACATTGCTACCGTCGCTGGGCACACGACCAACTACAAGTGATCACTATGAACTGGCGTATATCGTGCTTACCACAGATTAACTGATCGAGGGCGCTTTTCCTCTGACGGCGTCTGGTCAGGGCGCTCCACACAGCCCACGAAAATGCCTCTGAGTAGCTTATTAAACTCTGCTCGTCGACCAGGACTTGATACCACAACGTTCCCAGCTTGGTTCCACAGCTGGCACGTCTGCACACTTCTCTTCTCTTAGAGATATATCACTAGGGGTTCTCTTCTGGCGGGAGCTCAAATGGAGCGCGGCTTCCCCCTGCGATGTCTGGCACTCAAGTGAGGTCAGGGTCCTCCGGAAGCGAGCCTCACGCCTCCAGCAAAATGTCCACATCTCCTAGCCAGTCATTTATCTGTTTCCTTACTCACTGCCCATAATCTTAAATTGTTTTACATATCCAACCAGCCATTTTACATATGGGTTATCACCTCAATATTTGCTAGACCTTCTAGTTAGGTCAGGCTTGACGAATAACTCTCAAGGAGGGAGACTCGTTTCTCCTGTAGGCCGAGATCATAACAGTGGACGTTATTAAATGTGTTTAGTGAGCGCCTTAGCATGACCTCCGGGTGAACAGTGTTGCTTAATGTGTCTCTCCCCCCCCCCCCCCCCCCCCGTCTCTCTCTCTCTCTCTATTAAAAATAATATATTGGCCTTTCATTTGCGATTGGTGGTCTACTGTTGGCGGGGGCTCAGTGGACAGAGCGAAATATTAAAAGATATACCAGATATACCAGAGTGATTTGAGAAAAAGGCAGGACCTGCGAAAGCCTTTGAAGCTGTGGGAGGACTGTCTATTTTATGCTACTATAGCCGATGTACGAATATCAGAAAATTTATGTTAATTTTTCTGTGATCATAATGGTGTATTTTACCATAAAGAATTTTTTATTTATTTATTTATTTATTTATTTTCTGGTAGTGCCAAAATCGTCATGGAGACCAGAATGTGAACCCTTGACTACAATTTCTTCTTGAATCATGACGGTCCCGACGGGCATATGTCAGTCCCGTTCCTTAGGCTGTTCCCCCTGCAAAGTTGGGTTAGGCTAACGCCAAAGCGTCTAGCCTCCAACCTTAGACAAACATACATTCTCTCTTTCAGCTTTAAATAGATAACTTATTTTTGTTTTACAGAGTGCTGGACCTGATGGAGGCCGGCTTCTACCTATACTGGACCGGGGAGTCTGGCACCAGCGCCTCACCCTGTGCCTACCCGCCTTCAAGGGTCACTGTCAACACGGCCCTCGCAGTTTCTGACCTCTGGGTAATGATGCAACGTCTTACTCGCAATGACGAGGAGAATAATGCTGAATTAGTATTATAATTTGAGGGAGAAGGATTGAGAAGTATTGTAAATGTTTTATCTGGTGTTGTAGGGTATGTTCCTAATGCTGCTTGGTGGCCACGTCGTGGGTCTGCTGGCGCTGCTGCTGGAGCCTGTCTCCACCCGGATATAAGTCTTCTGCTGTTTCACATCACCTGGAATAAGGAAATACATAGTGTGTAAATTGTCCTCATTTTGAAGTTACTATAAAAAAATCTGTTTGATAAAATTACATAATTATATACCATTATTTCATTATTAGATAACCTTAAAATGTTTTGAAAAAATATATTCGTGAAAATATCGAAATAGGGTTTAGAGATGCTTGTTATTTGCATTGTTATTATTATTATTAACTAGCAGTACCCGCCACGCATTGCTGTGGCTCAGTCTGGGTAAGTGGGAAAGTAAGTAAAGAGAAAGCGCACGTTTCTAAAATGTTTAATTTCACAATGCTTGTGGGTATACAACATTTTTGTTGTTCCATTGTCTGGTTTGCCGACTCTAGAACACTCAACATATAATTGTCCACGTGAGAAGTAATCCGTGTTTAGATATAAACTGCACAGTTCTAAAGATTGGCCCTGAGCTTTGTTGATGGTGATTGCAAACGCCAAACGAATTGGAAATTACAATCTCTTAAACTGAAATGGCTTATCTGTTGGAATCATAGGAATGCGAGGAATGAGGACATCTTCCCCTTTGAAAGGTCCTGTCAGATTGTTGCTTCTACGACGTCGCTGATTAATTGTTTACTGCAAGGCGTGTGGCGTTGCAAAGTTTTGGCTGGTTGATATTTCGCAACATGATAATTGGCAAGCCGATTTTCAATTGCCGTGCGTGTGATGGTATTACTGGCAGATCGAGTGAATTAAAAAATCTGTTTGATAATTAACCGCTTCATCTGCTTCCTCAACAGTGTCGACGGACTTGTAAGTGCCTGCCTCGCTTTAAATGTTAGACTGAATAATATTGTTAAGTTCGTGTGCCGGATGCTTTAGAAATGTTGCACTTGGGAGTTTCATGAATTGCATGTTCAACTGCAATTTCAAAGCCGAGGTAGCAATTCTTTCACCTGGTAGCAATGTCGCAGCAATTCCGGACGATGCCAGAGCTAAGGCTATGCCAATTTAAGATCGAAATGCGGCCAGAATCAATCTAATTAAGAATGTTTTACCAGTTCTTCCTGGTGTAGCTAAGAAGATTTCTCCAAGCCCGGAATTGACAATTTGAATTATTTGGTTGTAAATGCCTTTTCGCTCATGAGTTAGATTAGAAATATTTGATTGCACATACGACAACAGATCACCCGTGTTGTAACCTTGTTCACGACCCAATTCTACATCGAACGAAGCAGCAAGAGATCGATTCGGTGATGGCATTTCCAATTGATTGAGGACTTTGTTCGCGATTTCTAAGCATAAATCTTCAATCGTTATCAACGCTTCATTGTAGACTTCTGTTGTGAAATCCATGTTCATATTTGAATTTTCCTTGCGTATTCGACGGACAATATCTTCAGCATGTGTGATTTATATTTCTCCCATAACTCTGTTGGAGATGAAGGAGAGCCGGTGGTCAATATGATTGCAAACAATTTACGAATTTGATTTGGATGTGACGTGTTAGACGCGTCATTAATGCATACATCCTAGTGTCGGTCGTTCTCCATTTAATTCAAAGCTTGACATGCACTACGGAAAGTGGCATGTGTAACGCTGTTGACAAATCTCAATTGCTGGAAAACATTGATCCAGGCACATTTACCAACAGCATGCAAAGAAAGAAGCATTCATCTTGATTGGGATGCACAGTGGATGTCTGCCTATCGTAGTTTATTTCAATATGCCAGGTTGTCCGTCGACTCGCTCTCCTCGTTTGCGCCGTTCAAATGATTTTCTACTGGCATTTCACGTGTAATACATAGGCACTTCTGAATACAGCAATGTTTTTGCAAACGCGTCATTTGACATAATGTGAAGAAAGCAATTAACGTTGTAGCATTTTGGATTCATAGCTGTTTGTTGCACATTTGCAGCTGTGAAATAAACGTGTTTTCCATTTTCTTCCTTTCAAAACAAAACCAAAAAATACTAACGAAATATTTAAATTCAAACGTAGATCGATCGACACAGCTCAATTTCTCCACCAATTGGACTGAAAAATAAGAAGAACAATTAAAAAAACGAAATGAATAACAATGAAAAAAGAAACAAATAAACTATACTCACGAAATGACATTCTATGGTAAACAACGCAGCTCAATTCCAACGCAATGTCACACAAAATAATTAAATCCAAATGAAAATAATTCAAAATCTATGAAAAATCAATTTATCAGTGCAATCGGAAACATTGAAATGAAATCGTAACGTATTTTGAATAGTGTGTGTGTTGCTCTTATGTGCAACAGATGGCACAGTTTTTCAAAAAAAAAATTGTTTTTATCTGTCACAGGTGTGGCATCTATATAGTAGGTATATAAAAACATGCACGTATCCGAATGAAACGATGTGTCAAAATATCAAAGTAATCAGAGAAGAACTTTCGGAGATTACACCACATGTTTCTCTTACGTCCTATAGATGGCGCTGTTTAAAAAAAAAAGCATGTTTTTTCCTGTCACAGGTGAGGCATGTATATAGTAGGTATATAAAAAACACTCGTCTATTCAAATGCAACGTTGTGTCAAGATTTCAAAGCAATCGGTAAAGAGGTGTTGAAGATTTCCCTCACATGAAAAAAACAGTTTTTCAAAAAAAGCATGTTTTTCCCGTCACAGACATGACATCTATATAGAATGTATATAAAAATCTGCTAAGATGCGAATGGAACGTTGTGTGAAAATTTCAAAACAATCGATGAAGAACTTTCGGAGATTAGTGATTTTGAACAAACGAACATTTCCATTTTTATTTATACAGACTAGCAGTACCCGCCACGCGTTGCTGTGGCTCAATCTGGTTAAATGGAAAAGAAAGAAAAGAGAAAAGAGAATGCGCACGATTCTAATATGTTTAATTTCACAATGCTTGTGGGTATACAATGTGGTCGGGTTGAGGTCGAGGGAGGGGGAAGACGTATCGTGCGCGCTCCGTTAAAATCGCGACATTAACCGGGATTTCTTAGGACTACTGCCATGGATTACTGATTACAGACATAACAAAGTGCATAGTGACCCGCTGGAAAATTGAAAACAGTCATTAACAATAGAACTTTGTGTTAAATAGAGACACTGGCTCACACGGGAGACCACGTGTGAGCCAGTGCACGAGACTTTGTGTACATTCGTGTATGAGGAAAAAATAGTGAACGGTGATTCGTGGAACAGTGAAGTGGAATGGGTATCACAACAACATATATGTTGGAAGTGTAGGAAAATCGTGCATAGAATACTAGAAATATAGAATAGTGGCAAGAGGCGGCATCAGTGTTATAAATCGAGTAACTGGAAATTGGTGACATCAACCTAGGACAACAAGAGGTCACCTGTACCGACCGGGGACCAGCTTCGCTACCCTACGCTAAGTACCTGCCATAAAGTTTGAACAAATTAACATACATAATATTACAAATATACGGTATACATATAATACTATAAATATTAAATATATAAATATATACATATAATTTTATAAAGAGTTAAAAGGACTGACATCAACAAGTGATCCACACAGTGAACCACAAATACAAGACAATACATCAAACAATGGAGAGGTGTGGCGAGTGTTCGGGAGGTAGACAAGACAGTCACAGATATAAATACCTAGAAAAACTCAAAACCGGAACATATTTGCAAATTCTACGCTAAAGGAATATGCAAATATGGAAAATTGGGAGCAAAATGCCATTTTCTGCATCCTCGAAAATGCAGGAACATGTTGGAGAGGGGTACATGCCGTTTTGGAACAGGGTGTAGATACTTCCACCCTAAATTATGTCAGTTTTCAATTAGGGACAAAAAATGCTACAATCTTCAGTGTCCGGAATTCCATGTGAGAGGTACAGAGCGTTATAGACGGGAAGATCAATATGACACTACTGGAAATTTTTTAGAGGAAGGCAGAAACAGAGTAGTAAATATAAGAGAGAGGAACAGTCAGATGGAACCACTACAGGATTACAGAGGGGAACGGAGATACCCACAAGACTGGAATTCAAATTATCAACAAGCACACAGGTACTACACCAGACAACACCCGTCCTACTACCAAAACTGGACGAATCACTTCCAAAACGACACACCCTGGACGCAAACACAGTGGCCTCCTTACCAGAGCCTCAGATATTAACACCAAGTAAGGCTTCCAGCACTTCCACTAACACGATAACATCATTTATATTTGCCAACATCCAGGGTATAAAAACACGCAAATCCAACAAAGTTCAATTTATAGATGGTCTCCTTCATGAGGCAAATGCAGTGTTTGCAGCCCTAACAGAAACCCACACAAAGGACTACCATGATGGTGAAATATGGATCTCAGAGTACAATCTTTTCAGATGTGATAGGAAACACCGGCTTCAGGGTGGGGTCAGCCTCTACATCAAAGACACACTCATCTGTACTGAGCTGCTAAACACCTCAAATGATATGGTGGAAGTGCTGATAATCAAAATAGAGATTTTAAATGTAGTTATTGTCCTTGTATATAAGTCACCGGAGGCAAACCCTCAGCAGTTTAAAGACCAACTAATGAAAATAGAACACTGCTTGGAAAATCTCACAAATCCAGCTCCGAACATCATCCTGCTTGGGGACTTCAACCTACGGCACCTGAAATGGAAGCACCTGGCTAATACAGTAATATCAGAAAGAATACGAGGAAGTAGTCTAAATGAACAGGCACATGCAAATGACCTGCTACGGATGTGCGACAGGTTTGCCTTAAACCAGCAAATAGCAGAACCAACTAGGAAGGAGAACACGCTGGACCTCATTTTCACTAATAATGATGAATTGATCAGGAACATAATGATTACAAATACCTGTTACTCAGATCACAACTTAATTGAAGTTATGACAACCATGGGGAGTAGACCTTCAAAACTAGTCCAGATTCCCGGTGGAGGAGATTTCAGCAAATTCAACTTCAATAATAAACAGATAAACTGAGAGCAAATAAACCAGGA